TTTCATAAGGCCTATCTGGAAGGGGACTCCGCAGCGTAAGTCTCAAGCCCCTCGCCGATCGGAAGTAGCAGAGCAAGCTGTACCTTAGAAGCCAAAATTACGCCGACCTGTGTGTCCATAGCCGGTCCGGCATCCTCCAGCGAAGAACCCTGCTCACCGATCGTGCCCGTTCCAACTGGCTCCATCGAATCCACTTGGAGATTGGTCAAGAGATCCATTATAAGAGGCTCAGTGTCAGCAGCTGCAGCACGCGGCAAGTAGGAATGCACCAAAATCAACGAGTGGCGCAGTCGCTCGAGAAGGCGGTCATAAATCTCCGCCTTCTCCAACCATCACAGAGAGCCGCCGATGCGCAAACTCCACGGCTCGCCTGCTGCATGCCATGCCTAATCCTGGAAATTCTGACACAGGATCTCGAGCACAGCAGCTTGAGCCAAAATGGCGTTTTCCCGGTGTCGCCCTTTGACCATCAGATTGTCTTAGTCTTACAGAAAACAGCGTCTAAGCGAAAACGACCTGTGCTGAAACGGGGAATCAACAAACTTCAAATATTCGCTGGATAAAAATGAGTTGTCATTCCGAACTATTCCCCCTCCGTGCTTCGACAACTTCGGGTTGCTTCGTGCTACCTCTACACAAACCAAAAAACAGCCAAGGAGCCCGGGAGCCCAAAGTCTAAAAAATATCTGCCTTCCATCCTCTTTGACCAGTTCCTCAAACCCTTCTGAAAAAGCGGCAGCACTGCATCGAATACGATTGCAGTGCGACTGCAGACACTACTTATCCGCCGCCGGCATCCTTCTAGTCTTGTCTGTAATGACTACTGCGCAGGCCCGGCGTCGATCAATTCCTCTTTCTGGGCCAGGAAACTTTGCTTTCCCACTTGTCGGTGTACGTTAACCAGTTCTGTCTCGGTCTTCCGACCCTCCGTTTGCCAATCTCGAACGTGTTTGCGGTGCTGGGTTTGTAAATGACTTGCCCCAGGGTCTCACCTTTTCTCAGAATATGGCCGGCTAGTCTGATACGCTTGTCCCGAACCAACTCCAAACAGTTTGATTTTGCGGCTGTAGGGTTTGTACTTCTTAATTTCTTCATTCGTTGGCTTTCCTCAGTACAACCTCAATCGTATTATTACCTCGGTTCACAAGTCCTATCTAGGCCTGGGAGTTTTACAATAGTTCTTAGTTGAAAAGCTTTCGCCTTCTTCTGCATTGATTGCACTAGAGGAACTGAACAGTTTCAACGCCGGGCCGCATAGAAGTCTGTTCCTGACGATGGCATCAGACAGTACAAGTGCAACTTCCAGTGTGCTGGGCGCTGCACAGCCTTTCGGAAACTACTTAGCTCATACCAAACTTTTAATGTATCGTGCATGTTATACTTTTATACTTGATTTCATGCCTTATATCTACATGGCTTGTGTGATTTGATGTCGCGAGTACATGGCTTCGTTTGCTCTTGGGCAAACTTGACGACATTGTGACCGTTCATAGCAGCGTAACAGCAGTTATCCCCATTCAGACGGAACCCGCATTGTGCCGGCACTGTTTCTGATTGGGAGCTTGGGTGATGATTAAAATAGCATCCGCGTAATACATTCTATCGAAATCAACTCCTGAAAACCTTGAATTCGCAGTCGCTGACTAATGTTGCAATTGATGTCGCGGTCTATGACAGACATGACCTGACATAACTAATGCGAATAAGCAAGGAGGAGACGAAGGGCATCCTTTGCGAGTGCTTGACCGCTTTTGCTGTTTTATAGTGGATTTCCCATACTCATTTTCTACAAACAAGCAGGGATTACTGTAACAACTCATTATGACATCAATAAAGTGCGACGATGAATACCCAGCCGGTTAAGGGCTATCGCCATTGTCATGTCGTATTCTGTCGAAGGCTTTTTCCAACCTAGCATACTAATAACCAGATTGCAACCTCGTTGTTCTGCAATGGCTTTGCGCGCATGTTGGAGACATAATGAGACATATATCATCAGATATCGCACGTGACGTACTCAGCGCTGGGCGAAACCAATACTGCGTTGTCAACAACTTTGGTTGCAGAAGGAGGCTTTGCAACCGATTTCGTATCAAGCACAGGAAGACCTTAGAAATTGAAACTTTTAATGATACATGACATAAGTCTGTAGTTTGACGGCACGACCTTTTGATACATTGGGACAAATCTCGCAAAGAAGATATCATTCGGGGCAGATTTTCTATACCAGCAGATTTGGATGAGTGCAAGCACTGAGGCTCTCTGTTTGCATGGAATCCACCATTCATTCGAAGTACTGTTGAATTTGGGTGAAGAAATAAGGCTTCAGGATCCATGTGGTTTGCATGTATCTGCCCAAAACCAACTGCGAGACCGGACCTACAGAAAGCCAACTTCCATCCTTGCACGAAACAGCGCCTGAACGCCCGAAGCTCCAGACGTCCCTTCGCGATTATCTCTGCAACCCCCGCGGCAAACTCAGGGGTCTCTGCAAGACAGATCCACTTCAATGTGTCGATTCGTGCGAAGATTTCTGAGCCAATTTCTGCACCAAATTGTTTTACGTCAAGCTTTTGATTTGCATGAATGCCGCCGGTCCAACGTCTAGGCGAAGACAAGCTCTTTTCTTCCTGCTGCAAGCCTTAAAGATCAACACAAGTAAGTGATTCAAGTACCGTTACAAAATCAGCTGCATGCCACCCTGCGATATCTTCCAACTGCTATCCAACTGCCATAGGCCCATGGATCATCCCCGGGCAGTGATGGGCATGCTGTGTGTCTAAAGGCGCCTCAGCAAAGCCAAGCCACCTATGGCGGCAAGCCAAAACAACCTTTCAAAAAATATCCAAAAATGTGCAACACAGCGTCAGCTTGTAAGCCGCGAAATCTGCATTTCCTTTAACAGGGCTTTTCGACGCCCGCGTTGCCAAATGCCGAAATGTGAGAAAACTTCAGAACTGCCAGGATACCACGATGCGGATCAACATGGTATCTCACACTCCCCTTGCCTCTAGATGCTCCTTTCGGATTGACAGGTGCATTCCGATTTCGATCTGCAAGCTGCTTGGGTTTGAAGACTAGCTAGCACCTGCGAGTCTTTAAGCAGCGTGCACAGGCGTGCAAAGCGACTCTCTTGTCAGACATGTGCTGGGCGGCTTGAAAACTGCAATCGACTCTCCGCAAGTTTGGAGGTTTGCTGCTTCTTAGGAATGCCAGGCAGTGCACGAAGCCTGTTGCAGCTGTGGAGGCTGTGCAGTGGTGTGAGAAATCTCCCAAGCCGCAGCGGTTTCGAGTCGAAGCACCTGCCCCGCGTCCGGGAAGTGAAAGTTGAGCTGAAGGCCTTGCTCCTGAAAGGCTGCAAGTAGGGACACACATGTCGCCCCAAATGTGAAAGCTCCCGCACATACTCGCCAGGTCCTTGGCACAGGAGGTGAGAGACTTCATCAAGCCGATGGAGCTCTGATCGGCTACCTGCCAAGCACATGGCGCCATTCGGCAACTCACCTTACTTCATGTCGGCTCCTTAAAGCTCCCAACCTTCAGCACAAACGTGAACATGAGGCCACCCCCGAGAAGGAACTGGGCCATGTCGAGGACCTGGCGAAGTCTGGGCTTGGGCTGGGGGTGCACCATGCCAGCTGGCCTCGCTCTGGTGCTCCACGACAAGTCCCAAAAAGGCCTGGCTTCGACAAACTTCTAGAGTGCTGCCTTGTGTGCCTTGCTTCTGCCATCTTCAGTGTCTGCCCCAGCAGCTCCTGGCAAATGCCCGGTTTGTCTGCTCCCCATCCGCGGAAGACGAGGATACTTCCACCTCTCGGGCATCGTCAAGCAACCGCGTCATGTGGCAGGCTTTCGTCTGGGTAGCATGTGGTAGCCCGAGAAGCCCCAATCCACAAGAGCAAACTCTGAGTCTCTGAGTAGCTCGCTTCCAGCCGGCACAGGAGCGCCGGTCTCCGCCATGGTGGGCGAAGCAGATGCACTTGCACAACGCTCGAGCCAGCAACGAGTCGTTGAGGCTTCGCTTGGCTTGGTGTATGGTATCTTTCAAGCATGGCAACAAGCTCAGTGCTCAGCGCTGGCCTTCACGACATGGTTGCCATAGACGAAGTGTTGTTCACCCGAAGGCTTCAGCCAAACACGGTACTGCGCCAGTCTTGCCTCGGAGCGAGGCAACACCGGGCAAGGGCATGCTTCCGCCAGCCGCAAAGCTGCCCGAGATTTGCAGTGAGCACCAGGCGAGATAGTCCAATGCTGTGATGAGGAGGCGGAATTTCCGGCTGTGGGTGAACTGACAAGCTGGAAGCAGCTGGAAGGGGCTGGATGATAGAACTGCGAAATACTGCGAATCTTGTACAGTACGTTGCAGGCCTTGCCAATGCACACGCCAGCACTCAGAAGCTCCTCTCCCGAGAGGTCTTGGGGATTGTGGTCTAGCTAGGGTCCACGTACCATGGTCCAGGACCAGGGTGTAGCTAATTGCCATTCAGGGCCTGGGACGTTGAGGGGTCACGAAGGGACATCACCCGATCAAGTGGGCTCAAACTCCAATGTCTCTCCTTCTTCGGAATGTGTCCGGCGTGCTTCAACACCCTTTCGCTCATGTAGAAAACACGCTCCTGTCGGACTGGTTTTCCACAGCATCAACGTATGTTGTCCTACTCCACTCGAAACGCATATTACTTAGATCACAAAGCCTTGTGAAGTCTGAAGAGGAATATGCCATCGGGTCTGTCAACCATCTGGCGAAGATTCTGGCCAATGTACCTGGCTTTTTGCGGCGGCAAGTCGCCGCCGGACAGAGCTTCAAACATAAACCAAGTTCCAGTTTCTCCGTCGAGTCATCTTCTACATTGCAACCTCCTGGTGGCTTTCAGTCCCTGTGTGAGTTCTGTATTTGTCTCAAGACGAATGTGGCGCAGTGGCACGGAGGCCGGGGACTAGACTCAGTCTTACAGACCTCTTGCCCACAGCTGATTGAAATCCTTCAGTAACGCCATTTCGTTTCAGTGGTGAAACAGCCTACTCAAAGAAAACGGCCTGGCTTCCAGAGTCAGGTCTAGCTTGTTGCAAGTGCATGCGCAGGTGAGAGTGTGTATATATACATATACACACACACATATTAAATTATCATTATTAGTATTAGGTATATTCGATAAAATCTTATTTTCATAATTAGTATAGTGGTTTGAGTTTCGATTTTATTACTACTATTAGTATGATTATTATTAGTATATAGTCAGTAATAAAAAAACACACACAGACAGATAGGGCCGCGAAAGCTAGCGACTTTTGAAGCGTAGCAAGGAAAGGGTGGGGCGACTCGTCAAGCGAACCTCTTGCCACACAGCAATGCAAATCACTCGAGTCGAGCCTGGCGGAGCCTTGGCATAAGTATGTACAGGCATAATTTCCTGGGTGTATTGGCATTTCGGGCCGGCACGTGCCAACCAGCTTTCTGCCCCATTTGTTCTGCATTTTGCTTGCAAATACAGCAGAAAGCTGGTCGAAACTAGTGGCGATCTTGCAGGGTTGAGGCAACACGTATGCACTGCGCAAAAGCAGTCTAAACATGCTAGGCAGGGACCGAGTCCAGAAACTTGTCCGCCTGACTTGGACAGCAACATGCGCTTGCCATGGTGCTTGGTAGCGTCCTGGCGCACTACTGTACCTACACAATCGCAATGCCGCAGTTCCTGCAACTGCCATGTTGCTTCAATGTTACAGCCAACTTGGTCAGGGGGCGTCGTACTGCCTCTGAAGCCATCATTTGCGCGGTGGCACCGGGGGCCCTCTCGCCCCCCGCGGTCATGAAGTATTGTTCAACCACCAAGCAAGCACCTAATCCCAATTTTGACCGGGTTCCCTAGTAGGTGAATTGGTAAACGGCAGCTTCCGCGAGCTCCACAGAGATAGCACTCGTGCTGAGATACACAATTCATAATGTGTCTTTTCACACAAGCTCATATGTATGTATGTATGTATGTATGTATGTATGTATGTAGAAAATCTGAAACTGTTCGCATCACGCTGTCCCAACACTGCTGTCCTCTGCAAATGCCCACATATATTATGGTGTTTCCTCGTGCCACATGTTGAGACTCAGTTCAGCAAATCTTCAGGTCCTCAAATGTGCTCAAGGTGTCGCAGTGGCCGAGTTTAGGCGCACTTTAGGCACAATGTATGAATCTTGTCTGTAGCGGCATCTGCTGGAAACCTCATGACACTACGGAGATGCAAGCACGAGCAGCAGTATGACTGTAAGTCGAGTTCAAGAACTCCAGCATGGCACTTCTTCAGCTTCTCGAACACAAGCCTCAGTACATCTCAGGCGAAACCAGACCGAAAAAGCAATGCCGCAAGACTTTCCATTGTTGCATGTGCCCCGCAATGCCGTCAGAACCCCTTGATTCAGATCGGTGAGTAGCCAACTAGCATGGTCTGGGTCGCGCCTGGTCTCATCATCAGTCAGAGCTCGCATCCCGAAGGCCTGCACTTCAAGCTCGAACACTTCAAGCCGTGCGTGGTTTGAAACTGTCTGATTGCTGGAGTAGCCGGGCACGAGCGAACTAGAATAATACTCCATCACGACGTTTCTGCGCCGGGTTCGATGCAAGACCCTGCCAGATGGTCCTTGATAGCCCTCACAACCTGATTTCCGGCGTCGGCAGGAAGTTTGACATGCCAACCACGAACACCTTGAGCACGGCTTGAAGAACTGCCAGTGGCGAGGCACTGTCCACAAGGGTATTGGTCAATCACTACGATGCTTTGCAAAAAAAGCTGCAGTGCTTGTGTTGCCTACATTGCTGCAGTCTGCACGCCCGATCAGTGTAAATCACGCGCAGCAGCATGGATCACTGACTCTTGTCAAGGCTTTAGGGTTTCTGAGATAGGATGCTGCAATTAGCTTCCGTGCAGTCTGCTCAGAGCCCATTAGAGGCCGAGTGTATTCATGTACTGCCTACGAAGGCGCTGGCATGTGTGTGCTGCTTGCTGTCAAACAGAAATGCCTGCGAGTTGAATTGGCAAAGCTCCACCTCGGATTGCAACTCTTGCCGGTGTCCCAACCAACTTCTTTCGCTCTTTACAGTAGGCTTCGCTTCGATGGGTCTGCTTCTCAGCGCAGGGCACCAGGGCGCTTGCCGGACGTGGTGTTTGTCGTGCTGCGCTCAGTCCCGGCTCAGCTTGATGCCGGAGCTCAGATCATCCACAGACTCGTCGCATTTGCGGTCACGCCCTCACAGCTTGGGTTCTACGCCGCCAGGTTTTCTGGCAGCAAGGACAAGCATGCAGCACTGCCTCACTCTCCCACGACGAGGATGAATCCTGCTACCGTTAATGGGCGGAACTGCAGATGCTGAGAACAGTCATGACATAGCCACGTCAGCTCGGATCCGTGTTATCTTGTGCTCCAAAACTGAATTATGCTCGACCCAATTTCAGCAATGGGCCAGGGGCCGAAAGTCCTGAGGCCGAGGGCGCACTTCGCGCCCTGACCCGTGCAATGAAGATTCCAACGGCCATCATGGCCAAAGCCTCGGTAAGGCTTGGCACACACGCAATGCCCTTCGACAGAAAGTTTTCAGTTTTCTTGCAAGAAATGCCTAGTGTACCTGGTGTTTCCTGTCGCATGGGGTCAATAACAGTTTCTGCCAGATACAATCCGCATTGGGCTGCCAACTTGCAGGAGGCGATGGCATTAGATGACATTTCGTCAACACGTTCCCTCAGTAGGCGATGGCATGGCGATGGCGGTTGATCGAATCCGGTCACACTAAAGACTTGGACGGCAAACCTGTATACGTGCTCGATTGCATGCTTGAGAGCTCGCTGCAAATGCTCAGGTTCCCGCGGCAACACCCAACGTCTTCATCGGTGCTGAAACAGGATCCCAGACCCGACGGGGTGCACGCAAGCTCTTTCCTGCAGGGCCTTCGGCGGCGCTTTTCCGATGCATACATGTTCCTTAATCAGCGGTCCTGGGTTGGTTGGAGGGATCATGCTCTTCGTTCGATAGAGCAGCCCTGATGTGCGATCGCCGTGGCCATTTTGGCTCCCAAAAAATGTTGATCGTTGAAGCTTTTCAGCTACTGGTACGGGCCTGATCATGTCGTTCCCTCCTGTCGGCGGTCCTCAACGCTTGTTGCTTTCTCAGTCGGCCTTTCCGCTCCCGCAGACGAACGAAGAGGAGACAAATGACGAGAATGGCCATCGACACCTGGATCTGCGTCTGGCACTGCTGAGGTTTAGGGCGATCGTAGCCGTAGCCAGGGCGGCTGGGGTCAGGACAGCTGTCCGGTACGGATCTGGATACCGTAAAGGTGGCCGTGATCACGGCCGGGCTGCACCTGAAGTACTCAACCCCTTCGAGACGCAAGGCCTGCGATGGCCCGCTGATCACATCGAGAGCGCGGTGGCGAGAACAACGAAATTGAGAGTTCTCTCAGGCTCTCAGGTGCCTCGACACACGAAACGAGAGTCTCATGTCGCCTTTTCAGAAGTGCCTCGCAGAGGAGATCATCGTGAACGTGGCCGGCTCGATTGCGCCCTAACAGAGCGCGAGCAGGTCCTGCCACCGAACTCGCGAACAGTGGCTGGATGATGGGAAGAAGGCCGTTTTGCTGTTCAGCAGGCACTGGACCCGTACTGGTGCATGCATGCTGGCCGGTTACTGGATCAAGTGAGTGAGCGGTGCCCGAGCGGATCTCTCGGTTGTGCTGCTCATGCGATCGATTCGAGCCCAGCGCACATGGGCGATCTGATCCGGTTGGAAACTAACTAAGACTAAGACATGCCCTGTTGTCGAGCGACCCAAAGTAGAATCCCCGACAGATCGACGGGAAGCCCAACATGATATCTCGTACAGTAGCTGCCCAACGGGTGTACTATACACTAAGCGCAGATAAAAGCTAAACTATAGCATATCCTGTACGACAATATATCTACGAATTACGTGGATGTGAGAGTCTTCAATTTCAATGGAAACGAAGTTCTCTGGGTCTTCTGTGGCTAATGCTCGGACAGCGATCTGTCCGTCCAGCAGCAGTTCTGCGACGATATCCTCATCGCAGAAGCCCGGCACGGTCGGTTCAGAACCTCTGTCGTAGTGGCCATGTTTCAGGGGATGGAAGGTCGCCGTTTTCTCGTTCGAGGTCGGTGGCCGCTCCGATTCGTTTGGGCCATTCCAGCATATGGCAGGTGATCCCTGGCGCTTGTGGTGCGAGTTCAGGGTCACCGATCCGGCCGATCCGGCCGCTGGCGACTCCTGCTGGTACGGGAATGATGCCGATCGGGTGGAGGTCGCTTTCGCGACTCCAGCAACCGGATGTCGGAAGCTCTCCATCCCGGCGACTTGACTCGCAGTTTCCCACATCTCAGGGCCGGCGCATGCCGGCGCTCATCAACACGATCAATGCATGCCAGCATCAAAGTGCCAGAATGGAGTGCCCTGATCAGGTGCACCAGTTGGGGTCGCATTCGCGGACCCACAACTCCCTGGCGACGGCGACTTCCGCTACAGGGCTCGAAGCTTGTGGTGGTCTCCGCGATGTACGTTGCTGGAATGCCCTACCACTGAGCCAAGCAAGGTCTTCGTGTCACGGTGGGTACGCAAAAGCTCGGGCAGTGTCGAGCAAACAAAGGCCAGCAATCGCTGCATCGGCCAAGGCTGCGCAGGAGGAGTTCGCCTCCCATGCCTCCCGAATGTCCAACTTCGCCCAGGTCCCCGATGCGGACCTCTTCCGGGCGGAAAGGTCGGTGTCCTGCACATCTGCGGCCGTGACCGCTGGAGTGTTCCACCAGGTCCTGAACGCCGACCTCATCCATTCGAGCTGCACCTGTGCAGCCTGCGATCGAGGCTGTTATCAGGTGCTCTGCGTTCGTACAGACCGGAGCAGATGACGGGTTCACCGGACCAGTCGCAGTGATCGACGGCACGTTCGTCGCTCGTCTTTTCTTATAGAGGATAACTTTACATACAGACTAAGATAAAAGGGTGCAGCAGGGTACCCGACTTACCGATTACAACACACCATAAGACACGACAAATTGTCATGTGGCATCATCCTCTCGACGGTCCTGTTTCAATTTCTGGTTCTGCAAACGCTGTTGCGAAGTGTTTCCCCGGTAGTGCTACTACCGCAGCATAGCAGTGTTCGACTCCATGAATCCATGAAGTCGGGTCCGAGGCGCAGCCAGGCACGCTGGCAGGAGGCTGGACGTGAGCATCTGCTGGGAATGCAGGTGCGACCTTAAAGCCCGGCTGCTCGCATCGTCGTACCTGCAAACTCTGGTGTGCTTTGCAGATTTGCGAAGGAACGCCGGCTGCCCCCTTCAAGCCAAAACGTTGTCTGCTCGGCCGGGGCACTTCTTGGTGAAAAGTGTGTCAAGAATGTTCCGGAACCAGGAGATGAGTTGAGAAAAGGCGCCCTGCGTTGAGGACTCTTTGCAGCACCGAGGACTTACTCGCAGCGCCAAATCTTCAGCAATTCAGCACAGGCATCTCACCTTCTTTGATGATGCACCGTTGACAGAGGTTTCGGTCGAATCATGGCCGCCGTGCGCATCCATGATGTTCACCTGTCCCAGATCTTATTTAGATCTTTCTTCGGCCGCATAAATTCAGAAGGCTGATCGAAGTACGAGTATCAAACTACGCCTTCAACGTTCGGTCGGCCCTTCGACGGGACGCGGCATGCGAGACACTGTGCAAATCAGGGAAGTTGCTGTTGGCTGGACATCCTCCCGTCTCTGCATACTGCACACAGCTCGGGAAGCCATAAACATGATTTCTGACTGCATATGTCACCCTCGGATGCCTTGAAAAGAGGACGTGACTCATGCTATCTCTGCTCCACCAGATCCACCACAGCAACTCAGACTGATGTCTGTGTCAAGAACGCGGCCTCGTCAAGTCCAACTCCAAGACGCGTCTCATGCTTGTCCTGCGTAGATGCCTGCACGAACATGTCAGCAACGGGAGTAGACAAGGCGAGAGGAGAATGTGGCCCAATCTACAACACCTGCAACAAGGCCATTGTCCCCGAGGTCAGTGGACTCCCTTTCAATCGAATGTTCTCCAAACGAATCTGCGTACCGAACGTTGATTCTCACATCCTCTCCCGGTGTTGTGACCTTGATAACAACTTGCGAGGGGCGGGCTCCTACTGCCAAGCGACTGACACAACTCCTGAGCGGGAACGTGCGGCAACAAGGATTTCACGTGGTTCAGGCTGATGAGTTGGGTTCCGGCTCACACAGGCCGAAGGGCCAAAGCCCAGCGAGGGCTAGAAAAGGCTTTCAAGCTCAGGGTTGGGACCATGTGTTGTGCTTCGTAGCACAGCTCAAAGAATCTCAAAGAGCACCTTCAGAGCCGCAGCCACCTGTGGAATTCTAGGTTCCGACCGACCAGACAACAGCACATATCACATAGCTGTTAGTCTTCGTGTGCAACCCTCAGCAGGCTTTGGAGTTTTCAGGAACCCGAGACGAGCACAAGGAGGAGCCCGACTTGCTATCGAGTTGCTACTCCGCTTAGGAGCAAACGTCGTCAAGTGAATGAACTGCTTGCTAGGATTCTCGAGACAGACACTGCGGAAATGGACACCGAGAAGCTTTTCAAAGCGTATGTACGCATATCGTACACGAAACTCAACGGAAAGCCCGGCCGGGGCAGTGCTTTATATGATTGCCTGCGCTCACTGAGCGTAGCATCAGCCCAGGCCGGCCAGTTTGTAACCACGGGCAGTGGATCACTCGGGCAAGCTGACGTTTTCACTTTGGCCAAGTGTGAGTGTGAAGATGACTTTCCGGCATCGACCACCGAATCGCACTAAAGAACATGCCTGAACTGCCTAAACAGAGCTTGCTGTTGTTGTTAGATTAGGCCACCGGCACTTTGTGGTCATTTACGGTTATGCGGAAGACCGGCAATACGTCAGACTGCCGGTGGCCCATCGCAGTCGGCTTCATGCATTTGGCCAGCCACTTGAGGCACTTACGCATGCTGTTGGGTTTTGCATCGGAAATGCATTGAGATACATTGAGAGGTCTTGCCCAGCAATGGTAGGCTTTGAAAAGCATAATGAACCATGTAGCGATTTCAAGCCATGGCTTCACCGACATGCTTGAGACTGTACTTTACAACAATAACTTCCAATACATCGACGGTATGATCGGGATCGATTTCCTCTCATGCAACAGTCTGGTCTATTGCAGGACAGAGCAACGGAATCAAGCATTTTCCACATCGTATGCGGGGCCTCGCTCTGGTTTACGATTGCCGCAAATCGCACTGCGAGGGCTCCCGCAAAATGCAGCTCCTGCACAGTTCGCAAGTTTCGGATGTTTTTTCGGTAAACTAGCTGATCGCCTACTCTCGCTGAAGTCTCCTTGCAATAGCTAATACACTTTCCAAACAATGCTACTAGTACTAGTACTCGTACGACGACTACTACTACTACTACTACTACTACTACTGCTACTGCTATGGCCACTGCTACTGCATGCTACTGCGATTGCTACTACGTACTACTACTGCTACTATTATTACCGCTACTACTACGACGACGACGACTACTACTACTACTACTACTACTATTACTACTACTACACTACTACACTACTACTACTACTACTACTCCTCCTACTACTACTGCTACTGCTACTGCTATTGCTACTGCTACTACTGCTGGTCGTGCTCCTGCTCCTGTGCTCCTGTGCTCCGGCGCTCCTGCTCCAGCTGCTGCTGCAGGATGCTGCCTCCTGTTACTGTTTCACGCAAGTTGTCCTGCAGGGAGGTAACTGCTCCTATCACACGAAACACTAGCTCTAGGAGAAGGGCGAGGCAGAAGAGCAAGAGGAGCAGGAGGAGCAGGAGGAGCCGTAGGAAGAGGAGGAAAAGCAGACAGAGGAGGAGGCAGGAGGAGGAGGAGGAGCAGGAAGAGGAGGAGGAGCAGGAGGAGGAGCACTGCAAACGCCGGGCTTGAGCCAGCACAAACGGTTGCGGTCACGAGCAGGTTAAGGTTGTAGCATGAAGACAGCTCATAGCCTCTTGGTTTGTTGTTGAGGGTTTGCAACATAGCACATTTCTGGACAATTCGCAAGGCCAAAGCCCCTAGCCCTGAACCACATTAGGCGACCAAGTTGGAACCCGTTCGAACAGCTCTGGTCGTGGTTGCTGTTCAGCTTAAGATGTTGTAGCCAAGGATATAGGTTTGCGATGACTGCCGGCCAGCACAAGCTTCCCTGGACAGTAGGTAAACTCTCAAGTCCCACCACGACATAGCTAATTTAGCTGATGACGACATCCTACAACGATGCGACAACCCTTACGGAAACCTTACAATCGTGAGCCCCCTTAAAGCCTTCAACTGAAACCCCAAAAAGAAATCCTTAACCCTAAACCCCTGAACTCTACATAAACCCCTAAACCCCAAACCCTGAACTCTGAAGAGAAATCCTAAACCCTAAACCCTAAATCCTAAACCCTACACCCCGAAGCCCTGACTCTATGGCCAGATCATCGTCAAGAAAGCCGAAGCCCTCGGCTACAAAGCTTTGTGTCTCACAGCGGGGCACCGAGATTGAGGGTTTAGGGTTTAGGATTTAGGGTTTAGGGTTTACGGTGTAGGATTTAGGGTTTAGGCTTTAGGGTTTTGGGTGTAGGATTTAGGGTTTAGGCTTTAGGGTGAAGGGTTAACTGTTTGAGGTTTAAAGTTGAGGATATCGGGCTGGGTCGCTTTTGGTCCTTAGGTCCATTCTGGTTCTTCTTTAGTGTTCTGCAGATCTCTGCAGGTCTCGGCAAATCTGACGTTTTTCGGTTTAGGGGGCGTAAGCTGGTAAGCGGTGCGGGGTTTGTGGCGGTGAGCCGGGCTAGCTACAAAGTGCCTCCCTCAAACCGGGAAACTGCCTCTAAACCCTAGAACCCTTAATCCGCAAAGCAGCACCCTAGACATTGGAAGTGAGCACCAAGGGGGGGAACCCCGCTTTCCCAACAGGGATTCTGAAATTCTGATCCGCATGTTTTAGTTATTCCTAAACCCTAAACCCTGAATCCTAAACCCTGAATCCTAAACCCTGAATCCTAAACCCTAAACCCTGAAAACCCTAAATCCTAAACCCTAAACCCTAAACCCTGACAACCCTAAACCCTAAACCCTGAAAACCCTAAATCCTAAACCCTAAACCATGACAACCCTAAACCCTAAACCCTCGTTCCTAAACCCAGGAGACTCAGCTCCCTAAGCCAATTTTCTCCAGCAGTGCTCTGGATAGTATGGGTTTAGGGTTTAGGGTTTAGGGTTTAGGGTTTAGGGTTTAGGGTTTGCCCTGAACCCAAACTCCACGACGAACCATCAAGACTCTTATATCATAAGGACACTCAGGGGGAAGGCTTATTTTTAACCCTAAGCCCTAAACCGGTTTAGGGTTTAGGGTTTAGGGTTGTTCGGTTGAAACTGTATTTGCACCAGCGCGAGCAGAGCCGACTTGGCAAGAGGGCACATGGTAAGATCTTGGGTGAGTTCTTGTAGCGTCAGCGGTGGGCCACTGAGATCAAGAACTGGCAGGACAAGCATCCCAAACGGGAGTATGTTTGCTCTCGAGAGAAAGTGTAGGCATGCAGCATGCTGGATCAATAGTGTGACAGCCGACTTACCACTCTGGTTCTGCCGCCGAAGCCTACTGGACTTCCCTCGACTGGACCATGACGGAGCAAATTCTGAACCTGCGAGCCTTTGTTTTTTGTCTTAATGAGGTCTATCAAAAAACTTAAGGAAGTATAGTGCGCTACCCCCCTCCTCCTTACCCCCCTATCTTTCACTATGATTATATTTTATATAGGCCTACCAAGGCTTTCGGATTACCCACAGTACACTTACATGGAGAGAATAGGCAAAAAAGTCGTTGAAACGAAGCCAAAGCCCTTAAACCCTAAACCTTACCACCCTACACAAGCCCCGAAGAAGACCCGAAACATCCACAGAAGCTCGAAGCCCTGAACCGTGCGACCTAAACCCCGAATACCAGGCCAAAGCCCTAGGTTTAGGGTTTAGGGTGTAGGGTTCAGGGTTTAGGTCCCTGAAGCCCTAAACCAAACCCTGAACCCTTCATCTAAGTCTGCCCTCCTCAGATGGAAACCCCTAAACCCTAAACCCTAAACCCTAAACCCTAAACCCTAAACCTTAAACCCTGCACCCTAAAAGATGAAGCTGCTCTCCGCACAGCAGCGAGGTCGACGCGCCCATCACCGGTCGTCGGGAGCGCGATCTGCGCACAGGAGGGGCCGATAGGGGAGGGGGTATAGAATAGGGCTTGGTATATGAGTGGTTTTCTAAATTAGGGTCCCTTTTTGTGTCCCCAATTCAATACGGCACCCTTATAAAAAGGACACCAAAAGGGACCCTAATTTAAAGAACTACCCATATTAGTATACTATACTTATTATAATAAGGAAACCCCCAAAACCCTATTCTCACTATTAAGGCCGATACATTAGTTTCAGAGTGTCGGTTCCGAGCGTCGGTTTAGGGTTGATGGGTTTTTCCGGTCGTTTCGGATTTCGGTTCAGGGTTTCGGTTCAGGGATAGAGCTCGTGTGTCTGTAAAGGTTAGGATTTAGGGGATGAGTGGTTCGGAGCAAGTCGGTTTAGGGTTTAGGGTTTAGCATTCAGGGTTTAGGGTGGTCGTGAGTTTGAGATTTTTGGGGTTCAGGGCCATTGGGGCTATGTGGGGAAGTGCCGAGGGGGTAAGGTTTCTGTGCTGAAAAAAGTGGCGACGAGGGGTGCGCGGCTTGAGGCTCTCGTGCTTGTGGGTGTTGGATTCAGAACTTTGTGTGTTAGTTTGCCTGTCTAACCCCTTCAACTTGATCCCAACCCCGGAAAATTTCAAGTCGCATAGTCCGAAACGCGAACCGGCAATATGGTAGCTGCAGCAATTGGTCATGTTCTTTTTCCCCAATGGAGTGGTAGGAACCATATGTTGCGATGAGTTCATGCCGGCTATATTCTGTCGCTCACTGTTCGGCCCTAATTAACCGTAAATCCTAAACCCTAAAC